GAAGAGCTGAGAAAAGGAGGGAAAACATGAGATGAGATGAAATGAGGTGAAAAATGCGGAGAAGACACGACATGACATGAGATGAGATGGGGTGACGCAGGCTGCGGTGACAATGAATGGAATACAATGAACCATTTCCATCAATTTCCAAGAGAAGCTGCGATGCGATGAGATCAGATGATATGAGAAAAATCCAACATTGAAAAGGCATGGCGCCGGAATGGCAAGTCAAGAGATTGTTGCTGCAAAGCACAAAAGGCGTACCTACACCCTTTCGGCACAGATTGTTTCCGCTCTAAAGGCTATAAGCATCTATAAGCGTTTCAATTTTGGAACTTCCGCCCGTGGCTTGCATGTAAAAGGGTGGTTTTGAAATAGCATTTTACAGACAGCGTGCTTTCAAGACTTTTTTTTCCCGAGAGCGTCTGAGCGCAGGGTTCTTCCAATAGTGGGGGTCTGTATCTTATCTTCTCATCTTCTCATCTTCACATCTTCACATCTTCTCATCTTCACATCTTCTCACCTTCACATCTTCACATCTCCTCGTCTTCACATCTTCTCATCTTCACATCTTCTCATCTTCACATCTTCACATCTTCTCATCTTCACATCCTCACATCTTCACATCTGCTCATCTTCACATCTTCTCATCTTCACATCTGCTCATCTTCACACCAGCTCATCTTCACATCTTCTCATCCTCACATCTGCTCATCTCCACATCCTCACATCTTCACATCTTCTCCTCTTGTCCTCTTGCCCTCTCCTTCTTTTCTATTTCTCTCTTGAAGGCGCGGGGCAGTGCCAACGCGACGGCACGAAACGCAACCCTTTCGCACGAAGCGAGGTTCGATCGCCAAAAACTGAACTAAAATTGCGATTTTGAGTGTGCCGCGAAAACCTTTTCGTACGAAATGAGGTTCGATCGTCAAAAACTGAAGTAAAATTGCGATTTCAAGTTGTCCCGCGCAACCCTTTCGCACGAAATGAGGTTCGATCGCCAAAACCGAAGTAAAATTGCGATTTGCAAGTCAAGTCGTCCGGCGCAACCCTTTCGCACGAAATGAGGTTCGATCGCCAAAAACTGAAATAAAATATAGTAAAATTGCGATTTCCGGGTTCCCGTCGCAACTCTTTCGCACGAAATGAGGTTCGGTCGCCAAAAACTGAAGTAAAATATAGTAAAATTGCGATTTCCGGGTTCCCGTTGCAACTCTTTCGCACGAAATGAGGTTCGATCGCCAAAAACTGAAGTAAAATATAGCAAATTGCGATTTCCGGGTTCCCGTCGCAACTCTTTCGCACGAAATGAGGTTCGATCGCCAAAAATGTGGTAAAAATGCGATTTCCGGGTTCCTGTCGCAACCCTTTTGACGAAATGAGGTTCGATCGCCAAAAACTGGGGTAAAATTGCCATTTCCAAGTTGCCTGGCGAAGTGTGTAAAAGCAACTGTGTGTAAAAGTGTCTGTGTGTAAAAGCGTCTGTGTGTACAAGCGTCTGTGTGTAAAAGCAACTGTGTGTAAAAGCGTCTGTGTGTAAAAGCGTCTGTGTGTACAAGCGTCTGTGTGTAAAAGCTTCTGTGTGGAAAGCGTCTGTGTGTAAAAGCGTCTGTGTGTACAAGCGTCCGTGTCTAAATGCTTCTGTGTGTAAAAGCGTTGTGTGTAAAAGCGTCTGTGTGTAAAAGCGTCTCTGTGTACAAGCGTCTGTGTGTAAAAGCTTCTGTGTGTAAAAGCGTCTGTGTCTAAAAGCGTCTGTGTGTACAAGCGTCTGTATGTAAAAGCTTCTGTGTGTAACAGCGTCTGTGTGTGAAAGCGTCTGTGTGTAAAAGCGTCTGTGTGTAAAAGCGTCTGTGTGTAAAAGCTTCTGTGTGTAAAAGCTTCTATGTGTAAAAGCTTCTGTGTGTAAAAGTGTCTGTGTAAAAGTGTCTGTGTAAAAGCTTCTGTGTGTAAAAGCCTCTGTGTGTAAAAGCCTCTGTGTGTAAAAACGTCTGCGTGTAAAAGCGTCTGCGTGTAACAGCATCTGTGTGTAAAAGCGTCTGCGTGTAAAAGCGTGTGTGTGTAAATAAGTCTGTGTGTGTGTGTAAATAAGTCTGTGTGCGTAAATGGACTCAGAATGACCGAACTGTGTGGTGTAAAAGCGTCTGTGTGTAAAAGCGTCTGCGTGTAAAGGCGTCTGCGTGTAAAAGCGTCTGCGTCTAAAAGTGTGTGTGTGTGTAAGTAAGTCTGTGTGTGTAAATGCACTCAGAATGACCAAACTGTGTGGTGTAAAAGCGTCTGTGTGTAAAAGTGTCTGTGTGTAAAAGTGTCTGTGCGTAAAAATGTATGTGCGTAAACATGTCTGTATGTAAAAGCCGATGGGTGTGAAAGTCTTTGTGTGTGAAAGAGTGTGTGTGTGTGAAAACATCTGTGTGTAAAAGCATCTGTGTGTGAAAGCCTCTGTGTGTGTATGTGTAAAAGTCTCTATGTGCCAAAAGGTCTGCGTGTAAAAGCTTCTCTATGC